ATATTGACGTGGCATAGCTGTCCGAAATGAGAGCGGCATAGTGTGGGTGCAAGTTCTGGCAGCAGCAACAGTGGAAGAGTTTGCAGGATGGGCCAGAGAAGGTAGGAGATGGGGACAGTAAGGGGAAGTGGGTGGAGGCAAGGAAAACAAGGAAAGATGGACTGCAAAGCGGAGTTGGGAAAGATAAGTATCCCCATGGGATCAAGTTACAGTCGGAGCACCACTCAAACCATTGGAGAAGATTACCACCTTAGATGAGTTACAGTCGGAGCACCTTCTTGCCGTCGGATACATCCCTTTCCTAGAAGAAAAGACCGAGGCAGAAATCTGAAAATCATAGACAAGTCAAGACCACCTCTAAAGGGATGAAATAGGAAGGCATGGAAAAGAAAATGAATAGAAATAGAAAAGAAAGAGAAATAAGTCAGGAATAGAAATAGGAAAGGAAGAGAAATAGTTAAGGCATAGAAATAGGAAAGGAAGATAAATAGACAAGGAATAGAAGAGGAAGGGGATCCCTCCGGCCCCCCATGAAGGTTGGTCGGTTCAGTCGGCCACCTAGCAAGTACCGCATCAGTCTCCCAGGGTTGGGGGAGTTTCGACTTCATTCGTCGAAGCTTCTGACTTCTTGTAGCGCGGAGTCAAGTCCGCCACATTGAAGATAACAGAGATCGTGTATCCCCCTGGTAGGTCAATCATGTATGTATCGTCATTCCTCAACACGGCTTGATAGAACATGTCTTGAGTTGGGGTTGTATATAGATGTAGGTTCCCGATATGTAACACTTGAACTCTTAAGTCTGGAACATTCTTCTTCCACTTCTCATACTCAGTGGAATGTAGCTCATAAACCAACATGAGTAAAGATATCAACTCTAGGGTAGACTCAGTGTCAGGTTGCACCACTCACTAGTAACCACTCAAGAGAGAACTTTTCTTCACTGATAGGACATGAATCCCATTGAAAATTTTCAAGTATGGTGTTCATCCCTCTCATTTGGCCATCTAATGGTGGGACACTGCTGAACTGAATCTAATATCTTAATAACTCAATAAAATCTTCCCAACATGGCCAAAAAAAGGCCTAATGGACCTCCCTCAGTAGAGGCAACTCAGGAACGAGTTATATATCTGAATTATCTGATTTCTCTTGTATGGAGTTGTCATGCCTCTGATACCAGTTCCTCAAACTCAAGACTGTGTTGGACACTCACCGTGAAGTCGGTTGGAGTTTCTCCCACAGGCTCAGCTGGAACTATGTGCATCTTCTCCTCCTCAACTAGAAGTTGGTTCTCCTCCATTGTGTCATCACCATCTTTAGTATCTACTGTGTCAGTATCTAATTTTCCAAGAACGCCCTGCCCGGTGAAACAGACCAACGCCCTGGTTGTACAATCTTATTCAACGTGCTCAAATTCATGGCACTTGCAACACTTTCTGACTGGGTCAAATTTAGAGATGCTGATTGGTTCCACCAGTTCTCCACACTTAACTCAATTGAATGTTCTCATGGGTATAATCTGGTTGTAAGACCCTAAGGTTGAGCACTGCCTGCAAGACGTGATGGTCTCCCGACAATGCGGACTCTCCACTTTTGAAATTAGAGTATGGACATTCTGTCTATAATAAGCTGGTAGGAATTGGCGTTGGATCTCTCACTTCATCTTTATATTCTCTCGTTCTCCACATGCTGCCTCTTCTCTCAGCTTTAAACTGGTTTCCAAAGCATTGTGATCTATCTTTTGCATCACTAAAGTCCTCCCTATAGCAGAGATTCAGGTCATTGTCACTTGCTACTCTTTCAATTCTTCATATCCTGGTTTAGGGTAATCTCCCCCTGGGTCACATCATCAATATCCTTCGCAAGTTTCTGTTGAAATCGACGGATCTCCCATTGTATCTCCTCCACGGTAGGCTCGATTTAGTGGCATGGCAAGGGTTTAGAGTGGAAGGTGAAAGAGGGAGTATGAGACTAATTGAGGGTTTAGAGAATTTAATTTGGGGTCGCCGATTTTGAAAATCAACAAAGGGAATTTAGGGTTAGGTTAAATTTGGCTATAGTTTGGTGGTTGATAGAAAAGAAAAATTTTTTGGTGGAAGTGACTTCAGTAGGGGCGGATGCTAGGAAACCCTAGGATAGGACCAAAGTTAACCTAGCTCTGATACCAAATGATACCTGATTTAACCCAACCATAATAGAAAAAATAAATATTAGTACTGGAAAGCCGATTGAGTTGTTACAACTCACACACAAAAAGGGAAATTACAACCTACTAAATGGAAATAGAAAATAACAGCACACTCGACACGACACGTGGCTAGGGTTGATCAAGTGGCAGTGGAGGTGGGTCGGTGAGGGTTGGAAGGTGGTGGGATGGTGGACGAGGTGATCGACAAACAAAAAACAACAAAAGTGAAGGTTTTTTTCGGGTTCTGGGCAGCAAGCATGCAGCCGAAATTGACGTGGCGCGGCTATCCGGGATAAGAGCGAATGGGTATGGGTGCAGATGCTGGCAGTGAGAAGCAAGTGAAAAGGTTGTGGCAGTGAAGGTGGGAGATGGGGACAGCAAGGGGAAGGGTGGGACGGCAGAGAAAACATGGGAAGGTGGACTGCATATGGGAGTTAGGGAAGATAATTATCTCCGCAGAATCGAGTTATAGCTGGAGTACCATTCAAACCTTTGGAGAAGATCACCACTTTAGACTAATTACAACCGGAACACTTTCTCGTCGTTGGATGTTTACTCCCATCGCGTCTTCATGGCGACCCGAGTAGCCCTCGTTATCTCTTCGCCGAATCGAAATCACAGTCTGCTCCTTCGTCATACTTCATCGCCCGCTACTTCGTCGCTCTTCGTCTGCGTCAAATTCGTCTGCTCGACTCCGTCTGCTTCGACTTCACCTCCCTCGGCTTCGTGACTCCGTTTGCTGCATTGTTTCCACGTCGTACTTCGTCGTGCCTTGATAAAATCACAGCCTTCGTCGTCTGCGGCATCTTATTCGTCAAGGCTGATAGACTGCTCCGCCACATCGACCTACTCGACTGCTCGCTTCGTTCGTAGGCAGTAGTTTTGCTCGCCTATTTCCAGCGGCTCCCCTAGTTGCTTTGGAGATGGCATCCACAATCCACTCCTATACCACTGCACTTGTCGGCGACATTCCTATTCCTACTCGTGCTTCTATTTCAGGTTAAGAGTATGGTTTTCATATTAGCAAGTCCTACAATGTTTCTTGAAGGTGGTGGCGATCACACCTTCATAAAAAAATTAGAAAAAAAAATGAGAAGTCTGCTCTTATTCTCATTGAGGTTGAAACCAGTACTCTCGCGTCCTCCTGGCGCTTTGCTCTAGTGGGGAAATTTTTGTATGGTCACCCAAAACTGGAGTTCATTCGGAAAAATTTTGATGCTATGAAGCTATTGGACAGTTGGAATATTGGTTTAATTGATGGTCGGCACATACTGATTCAGTTGTCTCATGATGTCGATTACACTCGCATCGTTTCTCGAAAAGTTATCAAGATCGGCAACCGTTAAATGAAAATTCTGAAGTAGACTGTTGGTTTCGACCCAAAAGCGGAGTCCCCTATCATTCCAGTCTGGATTAAATTCCCGGGGTTAAAATTACATTTATTCAACTTGGAAATTTTCTACTCCTTAGCAACTGCTTACGATAAGTCTCTCAGGGTTGATAGTCCTACGCTTGCTGTCACCAGACCCTTTGTGGCTTATGTGTTAGTTGAGAGGGATATCACTCAACCAGCTCCAGATGAGGTGTGGATTGGAACCACTCACAACGGGTAATGACAAAAGGTTGAAATCGAATCACATCCTCCTTATTGCTCTCATTGTAATATGTTTGGTCACAGCTCTACTATTTGCTATCGTTTGCATCCTCATCTAAGGTTGAATATCGCTAAAAAAGAAACCACCTATTATCCCTGTTGAGAATATTGAACTCGATCCTCTTCTCAACACCGCAGTTCTTGAAGAAGAACAACATACTACAGCTACAGATCCAGTTGTGCTTATATCACCCACTGTTATTGAAGAAGACTCACATACATGTCAAGCAACACGAGAGGACTCTTTTGATCCAATAACAGATCAGCCGGTACAACATGTAGTTGCTTTTAATGTTCAACAATTTGCATATCTTCAACACACTTTAGAACAAGATCAGGTGAGCCAATCCTCGAAAGAGGAATGGCAGGTCTATTCCAGGAGGAAGAAAAAGAATGGAGGTCGACTCCAGCTCGGAAACATTTTGGATGATACATTGGTTACTACTGACAATGACAATCATCTTACCAACTTATTAGCTTGCTCCTTCCCTAGAACAAGAGGCAGAGGCAAAACCAAATTGAGTTGCTCTCTAGCCACCCGATACTATGTATTTAAATATTTTTAGAATATATATATATATAATAGAGAATAGTAGAAAGAAATAGAAGATAATAGGCAAGAAAAGGGATGGAATAGAAAGGCATAAAAAGGAAAAGAAATGAAATAATTAAAGGAAGAGAAATAGTTAAAAACGAGAAATGGACAAGGAATAGAAATAGGAAAGGAAGATAAATAAGCAAGGAAAAAAAACGAAAGGAAGAGAAATATGTAAGGAATAGAATAGGAAGGAGTTCCCTCCATCCTCCAATGAAGGTCGGTCGATTTAGTCGGCCACCCAATAAGCCCTGCATCACATTTCATAAACTACCTATCCGTTATTGTATATAAAGTTCAAGATGCTTAATATAAAACACCTACGTATCAATTTATCCTAGAGTAATATTGTTTTATAATTATAAATTGCAAAACCACAAAACACACTCAATTTTTGTTTTTCTAATACTAAAACCCCTTATATTTGAGCATGTCCTTCACTGAAGAAAAGGAACCAACAAGTACCGCCAACCATGCATAATTACTACAAATGCAAAACCAATCCATTGGAATAAGATGTTATCAGTTTTATCATAGAAAAAAATATAAATAATAATTTTACCATTCTATGGCCCGATCTTGCAGTTGGACAGCCTTTTAAAAGAAGTTGTTCCCACTGATTTGTTTTCAAATCCAACATCCAAAAATCCTGCAGAGAATAAAAAAATTGTATGAGAAAATAACCTAAGTGCGGTTAAGTTTATCTTTTTCAGAAAGGATAGCCCAGCTGGAGTCATAATGCAGCTGCTGGCATTTTCGATAAAATAAAATTTTTGAAGTATTTATCTTTTAATGAAACCTAGATTGTTGCTTGCCTACTGTTATGGAGAATACCACATGAAAACCAGCAAGCTGTAAGAGAACAAAACTCTAAATATGTTGGAGAAATGCATGCTTCAATAAAAAGGAAACAACTGCATCATGAATGTCCATAGTATTTTCCAGGCACAAGTAAAAGAAATATGGAAAGAAAAAATTATCCTGCAGATAAAAAAGTTAGAATGAGTGTAATATTTGTACGAACAAAACAAGAAAAAGAAGAACCAATATAATGAAAAGAAAGACAACAACATTCTTCCATGCCTCAAAAGATTGAGTGCTGGTGTTGCATCATTACAAGTATACTTTCAATGGGAAACCAATGTTTCGTTTGGTATTGATTTAGATTTGCTTCTCTTTCCAAAAATTCTGACAAGACTCGATTTTGATTTAAGCAATGCTTGTTTACTTTCCCGCTGGCTCCACGACCGTAGATCGTACAATTGCGCAGTAGGATATCCATAAACTGAGTAGCAGACTCTCTCTTTGACGTGGGAGCGCCCCCACTTCGGATGCAAGACACGAGATGTGACTTCCCTAGATTGCGGGAGACAGGAAGCGGGCCGAAATAGTCTTGTTTTCCTTTTTTATGCTTTCTTTCCTATTATACTTCATTCATTTCTAGTTATTTCATATATATGTGTTGTATCAGGGTTTAGAAGTCCGTTTTTTTTTTATTGTGTTATATCAGGACAGCCATCGGCATCCAGGTTTTCCCCCTTTGAGGGTTGTATCCAAAGTCGGGCGGTGCTCCAACTGTAGCTTGTCCAAGGTGGTGATCTCCTTCCAAGAGATCAAGTGGTGCTCCGATTGTAGCTCATTCTCGTGGGGAATTTATCTCCGAATTTTCCATCCTTCGCAACCATCCAACCAGCCTCTACTTGTAGTATTTCAGCCGGAAAACCTCCGCCTTTCCCCCGCAATCCCCCGCAACCCCCCGCAACTTCCCCTTCACCTTCCTCACGCCATCCACCGCCTCATCACCTTCCTCCAGCCGTCCACTCACCAAACCACCACCACCTTTTGATACAGTTTAGTTGCGTTTGTTTGTATTTATCAATATATTTCCCTTTCAAGTGCATTTAGTTGTAACCGTCTATTGCCCTTTTTAGTAATATTTGTGTCCTTATTGTTGTTTGGGTTAGCTCCGGGATCATTTGATAGTGAGATCCGAAGAAGAGAGAGAGGAATGCCTGAATCCCTTCTCTAGGGATGATTCCAGTGGAGAAGAGGACAAGTCATGACGCTTTGGGATACAATATCAAATAAGGTTAAGAGAAGTAGTATTTGTTTAAGGATACAGAAATAAAGTGTCTGTTAGAGGATTAGAATGGTTGCAAACCATTGAGAGGATCTTTGCATACAAGGAGGTGTCAGATGGCCGCAAGTGAAACTGGCTATTATCAAGTTGAAGAAGAGCATCTCATTGTGGTGGGAGAATATGAAGAAGGAATAGAAGCACGAAGCAATATTATTGAGAGAAGATGAAGAGAATTGCAGCAACAATACCCACCCCCACACTAACATCAGAATATTTTCTTAAGGCTCCACTACCCGTAGAGTTGCTAATGGAAGAGTACACCGTGAAGTTCATGCAAATTAATCTGGAATGTGATTTGATGGAGCCAGATGAGCATACGATAGCCAGAAATTTCGCAAGCTTGAAGCCCGCCATCAACAATGTGGTTCAGCTACAACCTTATCGGTCTTTAAGTGACATTCAGACATTAGCACTGAAGGTGGAGAGATGGCAAAAGCGGAGCAAGCACTCACTGTCATTCAAACAGCTACCCATAGTTGGAGACATCAATATGAGTATACCTAAGAAAGTTGAGAAGTCTGGTCAGGGAAATGATTGAGTTACTCAGAGTGATAAGAAGTCTGAGAATAGCAACACCCCCACTATCGTCCCGACAGGAAATATTTCAAAAGTCGTGGTTTTGGACACATCGGTTCCAGTTGCCCGATGATTTGAGTCGTTTCCTTCACCGATTAGGGTGCACTAGACAAAGTGAGTGGCGAAGAGGCAGTTGAGAAAAGAATGAGTACCAACTTCCACTGGATGAGAAAGAGATGTTGGTGGTTCAACAAATCCTTCAAATTGAGGTTACAAGTAGCATTATTGCAGTATTAAGGGAAAGGTATGCAGTCTTATCATTGATGGAAGAAACATCGACAATGTGGCGTCTACACATACGGTGGATAAGTTGAGCCCCACGACTTAGAAGCACTCTTAGCCGTAATTCCTGACGTGGTTGCAGATGAAGAACAGAGTTAGCATTGACAGGAAATGCCTCGTAGAGCTTTCAATTAAGAGTCAGATATAGGATCAAGTTTGGTGTGACATCGTGCCCATGGATGTTTGTCACTTGTTGTTAGGGAGATTATGGCAGTTTGATCGTCAGACTCAGCATGACAAGTAAGAATCACCTGGTCATTCGCCAAGGATGGAAAGCGTATCATTCTCTTACCTTCTGCGAAGTCTAAGATTATAGGTTTCTTGCCAATTGAGAAGTGTCAGCAGAATCAATTTTGGTAACGATAGAAGATGATAGAACAGAGGTGTCGATTTTAGACAAGGGACAATCACCACAGAGTGCAGTATAGGACATCATCAATACATTACTGTCATGAACACCACCATTCGAGGAGGTTCAAATTGCCCTCACTTAAGATAAGGTTGAGCTAACCTTGGCTTACTTCTGGAGGATTTAGCAGAATGCACGTGAAATGAAGTCCAATTAAATTCAGTAGTGTACCCATAGAAGGTTGGACTGATATGGATGTATACTCACAAGTAGAGGAAGCTCTCGGGGGCAGTCGCTAGTGGAATCCAAGAGTTCCCCTGGCCGCAGTAGGAGAGCCTTCAACCCCAAAAGTTCATATCAGCTCGACCACCTTCAACATAAGTGCTTGACATCATACTATGAGGAGCGGCAAATGAGGTCGAAGCCTCCCCCTTCCCACTTCAAACGCGATTTTCCCCAACTACAAGAGACTAGAGACTGGCTGAAATAGTTTTGATTTTCTTTTTTATGCTTTCTTTCTTATTATCATTCATACATTTTGAGTCTTTTTCCAATATGTGTTGTATTAGGGGTTGAAGGTCAATTTTTGGTTTGCATTTTGTCAAGGCAGTCGTCAGGGTCCAGGCATTTCCTTTCTAAGATTGTATCCAAAAACGGGTGGTGCTCTAACTATAGTTCATCTGAGGAGGTGACCTCCTTCCAAGGATCGAGTGGTTCTCCATCTGTAGTTCGTTATGTTGTGAAAAACGACGGCAATAAAGTGAAAAATGGAACGAGAAAATTCTCAAAAAAATAGAAACAACACAGATTTACATGATTGGGTAAATTGTCTATGTCTACGGGGTTGCAGAGAATTTTATTAGCTTGAGAATTACACTCGTCGATCACCTCGACGATTACAAGAAAAGTTGTCTCTCGTCACCTTCACTCTCTCTTTATACCGAGAGCCACCCGCAGAAGAAGTAAACCAAAGGAAAACCAAAGGTCGAGCTATCCTCTTCTGCGATTTCTTCCTGCAACGAAATAGTAAGTCTCTCGCCAAAGAAGATCAAACGGAAGCTACCATACAAGGGAGCCAAAACCCTGCGATTTTTCAAACAGAGAGAGATGCTTTTTCCGTAACTATTTTTCCATTTTACTGCTCCGTATGCCATAACCGAAAAAGGCCGGAGATTTAAGGAGAGCGGAAGAAATATGGGCAAGCGAGAAACCAAAAATAAGGAAGGAATTACTTGCAATTAATTTAGCAATTCTTTATCAATTAACTACCATAAAAACACAGTAGACCAGTCTTCACAACTCAACAAATCTCTCACTTGGAGACTGGTATACTAGCTGCACCATCCACATTGGTTGCATCGTCATTTTTTCTCAGACGTGACATCCTCCACCTCTGCAACTCAAAGTCCGGTCTTCATATCAGAAGACCAACTAAAGTCAAGTACAACTTCAGTTTCTCAAGAGAAGCACACTTAGTCGACATATTAACGTTAACATAGTCTTGTACCTCCATGTTCTTTCCTAGATTATTCTTGTATGTGCTTACAACTCTCACTGCATGGGCAATATCCTGTCTTCAGTGAAAGTCTTTCTCAACAAATTCAGCCTTTGACCTCTTACTTTCATCAAGCACAGTCTTCACCCGGTACACTCACTTGTTACGCAATGCCTTCTTTCTCGGTGAAAGTTTTGTCAGCTCCAAAGTCTAATTCTCTGACAGTAAATTCATCACCCCTTCATGGTCAGCTCCTACTTGCTCAAATTTTCATCATGCAAGATTTCTTCATAGCTCTGACCCATGTGACCAGACTTACAATGTCACAGATCTGTCGTGCTCTCTACAACTGTAGTACCAACAATGTTGAGTAAACATGTAATCATTCATAGTGTGTTAGTTTTCTTATCCCGAGTCAGTACTAATACTCATTTGGTAACCTTCCAAGTGCTTTCTGAGAACACTACTGAATGACCACCCTCATTGAGTTGTCCAACATAAATGAGGTTTTTCTTCAACTCAAGCATGTATTTGACCTTTTGCAAAGCTCATTTCTTATTGTTAGGGAGAGCAATAACAACGTCTCTCATCCCCACCACATTGAGTTTTTCTATCAGCCAGATACACCTTCCCAAAGTAGCCAGCAATATAGTTCTGCATTAACTCTCGGTGAGAAGATGTATGGTAGGAAGCTCATGAATTCAGAATTCAATCATAAACAGAACTGTGAACTGCCAGCAGTAGCGCATCATGTATTTCTTCAGTTACAACATTAGCGATATCATTCTCCTTCTTCTTGGGATTCCT